CCTTCTTGGTCCTGCCCTACGGAGAAGGCTGGTGGATCAGTGACCTGCAGGGGAACAAACAGCCAGAAGCATAGGCATCCATCCAGCAACATTTTCATGTCTTCCGAGATGGTCTTTCAGTTGGAAGGTGTGGAGCTAGGGGCAGATGGAAAGGTTGTGTCCTACACCAAGTTCCTGTACCCCACCAAAGCCCTGGTCACACTTAAGCTGGACAGCCATGGCCCATGGCCTCTGCCCTGGCCCAGTGTCCCCCCCAGTCTTCCAAGGTTGAGATGCAAAATGGCCCCCACCAGGGTGACAGCAGCCGGCCTGGAATTATGGGCCAACATGTGGGATGCCCTTGGGTACCACCCTGACCTCCTGGACGACCCTCAGTGGCCCTGCGGCAAGCACAAACACATCCTCATTTTTGCATCCTACAGGACCATGGTGATAGAGTATTTGAAGCCCTCCAACCTTAAGAAGGACATGAACGAGCATTTCCAGAAGTTCCCACACCTCAAGCTGACAGTTAGTAAAATCAGAAGTTTAAAATGAGAGTGCAGCCTGGAGCCCCTGATGGTGTCCATGGCCTATGTGCACTTCCGAAGCTGGTCCTGCAGGGCAAGTGTAACAGGCAGACCTGCCAGCTGTGCACAGGCACCTGCATGCTGCTGGTGACCGAAATCCGCAGCAACCTGCACAGGAATGTTGTGAAGCAGCTCATCGACAAGTTAGAAGGGAGGTTTCAATTCAACAGATCGAACCTCATCGGGTTTGAGTTCACCATGCTCATGGCCTTGGAATTTGCTCTGTACCTTCCCGAGAGCCAGGTGTTGCCTCATTACCGACTTCTCATGCAGCAGTTCTAGCCTGGCCCTCCTGAGCCTGGCACCCCGGCACCCCAGGCCTGCGGCATGCACGTGGGCCCAGAGGTGGCTCCAGGCTCTGCGGTGTAGGCCACCAGCCTCCCTGGCTGTTGCTGCTCTTCCTTCCCACTCTTGCTTCTTGGGGGACTCTGCTTTCACTCCAAAGCACACCACACTGCCGCGGTATTTCTGAGCATCTTCCTGCGTTCTCCCAGGAACAAAATGTGGGGGTTTGTTACTGTTTCTTTTCCTCCTGTGCCTGAGACTGGTCTGGCACCAGGAATTTGATTTGCGATGCATGGTGGTGAATCCTGACTTTGCAGCATCTTTTTCTTTCTTGGCGTCCCCTGGCCTTCTGCAGACTGTTGTAGCCACTGCACTAGCATCTCAGTGGAGATCTGTGTTTCCAGATTTTCCTCAACCCACTGAATTGCTGAGTTAACCTGTTGAAGCATCAATCTTGGCTAATTTGTTGGGTGTAGAAACTGCCCTTTGGAAAACAGCCACTCCAGCCCCGCCACATCGGCCTGGCTACTTCCCAGCCCAGACCCTGGGGCTTGTCAACCCACGTCCCTGCATCTCACAGGCAGAGCTCTGGTATCAGCCTCAGCCAATGAGAGCAGGCTCCGGTTTGTCTTTATCTCACCTTTTACTCTGGACCTGTTCTTCTGAGAATGGCATCACTGTGAAATCCCGATACCCCGAGTGTCACACCCCTCAAACTTGCCCACCACATGCAGGGGCCCACTCTTCATCTTTCACCAGGAAAACCCCTCTTGCCCATGACACATGAGACCTTCAGGTTGATGGGACCGCCAGCTCTTGATTTTCCTAAGGAATATTGTTGAGAAAACAGGTTATTTATTGTCATTTAGGATGTGGGTCTGTGTTTTGGGTTTTTTTTTTTAAGTAAACAAGAACTGTTTAAATTAGGTCTGCTGAAGCTGTGACTTGAACCACACTTGACCCTTGAGCAGGGAGGAGACTGACCTCACAGCCCTGCCTCCCTAAAGGGCTGGTGCCCGTGCCTTCCCCTCCAGGCAGGAAGGAGAAGCACCTTGGCCAGTGCAGCCCACCCTAAGTAGACCCTGAGGGCGGGTCAGTGCCCACACGTGCGCTCCTCTGCACCATCTCCGCTGCTGGCCCCATGAGAAATACCAAAGATCAAGGACTGAAGTTTCTCCCTTCATGGGTCAGCTGCTCTAAAAAAGGACCATACTGTCTGGGCCATTAAGCTGCTTCCCCACAGCTGTCCTATCATCCTGTCAGTGGAGGGGCCCCAGGACAGCCCGCCCTACATGCCATCCATGTGGACTGGTGCTTTTGCAGCAGGGAGATGCTAGCCTGCATCACTGCACTCAACCACCAGCAACTCAGCCTAGACCCCAGAAGAGGTGCAGGGGGCCACCTGCAGACCCACTCCCACCCTGTTAGCAGCTGCTCCTCCTTCCTCAGTCTCTCAATTCCTGGGGGACTGCAGGATGGAGCATGAAGCCCAAATCTATATTCCACCCTTATTGAGGATTGCCTCTTCCTTACCTCCCCAAGATGGCCCACCAAACCCCGACATGCACCAAGAGGGGATTGGAGGATGAAGCTGCTAGGCTCCAGGCAACTCTTCTGGAAAGTGACCTGTCCTGCCACCACAGCATCTCAAGTCTTGGTGACACTCCTGTTACTAGCACTGCAAGGGGCTGACTT